GCTGTATATCGTGTAGCAACGGCCCCAAGACAAAGGGGCCGCGTGATGAGTGCGGTACCGCTGTGAAAACAACTAATTAAAAACAAAAAGGAATAAATAAAGAAAAAAAAACATATGGGGGAGAAATAAACATATTCCAACAATTGAACAGAAGGAGCTTTGGAAGGAAAAGTATCATGATTTAATAGATAAGTTAAAATAAAACGCTTGCTTAAGGCCAGATGGGTAAATGAGTTAATTGGGTTGTTTTAAAGCAGTAATTGAGTTCATTGTGATGGGCAGGAGGTCGCAAACAATTCCTGCATGATACGCAGGCCTGTTTGGGAGATGTGTGGTTTTCCTGGGGAGGGGGTTCCTGATCCCTTTCTGTGCGGGATCGAGAGGAGGATCCAGGCTGGGAGAGGAAGACAGCCCCGTGATGTAGTAAGTACAGAGGGAGACTCAGGAGTTCGATATATAAAAGCTTTTTACCTCACCCACGCGCCTGCGGGTTTCATTCTGACTCTGTGCAGCCCACAGGGGAGAAATGTGCAAGGAAGGCAGGGAAGACTTCAGTGTTGGGCACCATTAAAAATTGAACTGGGGAAAAAATGTGCTTAGTAATGAGTAAAGAGAAGCCCAGGACACCTGGACTCTGGAGGGAGATGAAGAGAAAGGAGAAGACAAGGACAAAGCAAGGAGGGGCGGGTATTACACCAGCTCCTGCCAAGGGCCTTGAGCAGGGGACTCTCTTACACGGTGTGGAATCAAAAACTAGAAAGCATTTTTACATTGTACATGAAGCTGTAATCCTGCCCACGGGATATGCTTCTATTTCCTTCCTGTCCTGCAAGCGAGTTTCTGCAGTCTAGCGCTCGCTTGCTCTTTGCCCACACAATTTAATTTTCTCTCGTCTCCCCTCAAAAAAATACACAACTTTATCGAGCAGATCCCCAAAGCACGTGCATCCAGTGCTGCACGAGGCTTCTCAAGGCTTTGCAGTCAAACCCACAACCTTCCCTCTTCTCAGTCCTCTCACTATTGCCCAAATCTCAGTGCTTTTGCCAGAATTTTGCCCCAAGGAGGGAGGCAACACTGAAGAGGCTCCAAAGTGGCTCCCTGCATGGATCAGTTTCACAGGGAAAAGTTAGAGACAGTCTTAACCCATAACTTTAATTATTTCATGTGAAAGTTGTATATGGGCATGATTTCAGTATAAAATTATCTTTACTGTCCTTTGTCAGTGCAAAAAGGTAAGAAAATGGAATCTCCTATTGCAAATGTTGCAAATGAAGATATGCAGAGCAGCTCTTCTGCATGGGACTTCCTAGCTTCCTATCCTGCTTCCCAGCTTCCAAACTGTATCTCTGATTTTGCAGCTTTAGAGGTTTAACAGAACAACTTTTCAGATTGAACCAGCAATCGTGTATGTGAATGCCTGGAAGCTGGTGATTTCTTCTAAACTATTTTTTTTAATTGTCTCTTTCCTCTGGTGGACTTTGGACACTGGAAAAGTGCTGGAGGAGGGAAGTAATAGCTCTGGAGGGCTGGCCTCCCAGCCAAAAACAGTTTTGAACTTCAGATAGAGCTAGAAAGTGAAATCCAGTGAAGTCTGTGGACACCAGTGCTTCATCACAGGAAACACAGAGGAGAAGAAAACAAAACTGGCAGAGAAAAAGTGAAACCAGAAAAAGTACGTTTCATTTGTCCGAGATTTTAATAGAGGGCGGGGGCAGAGGAGAAAAGAGGTAACACGCTCCAAAGCTTTGTACCCCGTTTCTGCCACGCATCATTCTGGGACTTAAATATTTAAGGATTTAAGATTGGTATTTCAAATATTGACGTTTTAGCCCAGAGCTACGAAGAGGAGGTGAGGTAAGTCCTTTTCTCTGTCACACCACATGAGTCTGAGATCTCAGCAGTCAACTGGGCTGTCCTGGTGCAGCGAGCTAGAGGGGAGCTCATAGAATTGGATGGGAACTAACATCCTTGCTGCTTTAGTTGTACCATAAATGAAAGCTGTGAGGAGCAGAGCAATGTTCCTCAGCAGAGCTAACTCAGAGGAGAGGCAGACAAGGCAGGAAACTTGTCTTCTGTATTAAATTTGAAGATGCTCGTTGTAGTTTTTGTGCCCTGCAGCTCTCTGGCTTAATATTTAGCCATGTGGAAGGCAAATCTGTGCTACTGGAAATAAGCTCTGCTCCTGTCACAGGCGAGGTCTTTTCTAGGCACGCTTTCATTTATTCCCAGGTGCTTTTGTACTACAGATGTGCTTTGTAGCAAGGGGGCTGGATTTCATTTTAAGGAATTGGCTTAAATGTGATTGGAGATGCAGTTTACCAACATTTCAACAGATCTGATCACAGTCCAAGTGCCAAGTGGCAATCAGATGAGATTCAGCCACCTTACTAGCAAGGGTAGCCACATAGAGCTGGAAGTAGAGGGCTCACTTATTACTTATTAATTAAGATTACTGGATTCTTAAGATCAAGGTGAGGCTTAGGACAGCCTTTTCTGAGTCATCACAGGGGAGAAGGTGGGGGCATTCAGTCCAGGAGCATGTAAGGGGATGGTGTTGAAAGGAGTAACAAGATTGCCTGTAGAGCAACTATTTGAGGCTGCTTCTGTGTTCAAAGGGACTGATGGCAGCAAGGTCCCTACATCCCCTCATGCTCAAGGACAGAAAAATAAACCCCTGGGCACTGTGGACAAATTTGGGTTTTAAGCAAGCACTGTGTTTTGGAAATGGAGGAAAATCTCTGTTGCTCTCATCTCTGTGATTCAATGTATTTATTGTTCAAAGGATGGCCACTATTTAAGCTAATGCTTTTGGAAGTCTTTTGAAGATTGATGTTTAAGCAAAAATGGTAAAGAAATTTTTTTTACGATTGTTTCAGGCCCCAGAATGGCTCTTGCAGGTGATCAACAACAGCAGAAAGTCTGGGTTAGTTTAGAAACAGAATATCCTGAAGTAGTTTTGTGTGTTGGAAAAATATGTTTTGGTGAAAAAGTAAGAAAAAGGATACCAAAAAATTTGAAACAAGATCAAAAATACACCCTTGCCTGTGCAGTGTGTGCCCTGCTAAACTCTGGAGGAGGTGTCGTAAGAGCAGAGATTGAAAATGAGAACTACAGCTTAGAGAGAGATAACATTGGACTGGATCTAGAAGGGACTTTTCGGTCTCTTCTTTTGTTTCCAGACTGGAGGAAATACCTGGATGTTGAACAGCGATACATAGATAGAAGTAATTACATTTTGATTTTTATTAAGACCTGGAGCAGTGAAAACACATCCTTAACGTCTGCAAGTGCAAAGCCACCTATCTGTAGCCTGAGTACTGGGTTGTACGCAAAATGTGGTGCTTCTCTTTCCCACATGAACCCTACGGAAGCTTTTTTGTTCCTTAAAGACAAGAAGGATGAAGCCAGGAGAGAGCTTAGCCCAGGACTTGCTCAAATCAGCAAGAGAAGGGCCACTGAAGGAGACATGGGTATTATAAATAACACTGTTGCTGAGTTGTTTAACAGGGACCAACTGCAACACGGAGAGACGCTGACTTTCACAGAGTCAGGAGATGTGGAATTTAAACACTATTCAACTGAAAATTTTCTGACTCGTGTCAAAGAGATTTTACCTCAGTATATCGCTGGATTTGCCAACACAGGTGGCGGGTATTTATGGATCGGTGTGGATGATGACAGCAGAGTGCAGGGATTCAGCAGTGATGATGAAGACCTTGAAAAATTAAATCTCCTAATCAATTCTATTCAAAACAAATTAACCCTCTTCCATTTCTGCGGGAGTGGAAATAGTCACAACATAAGGTATGAACACAAAATCTTCAAAGTATACGACGAGGCTGGAGATCACTGTGGCTACGTCTGCGCTGTGAAGGTTCAGCCATTCACTTGTGTCGTGTTTTCTGAAGACCCAGACTCATGGCTAGTGGAAGGCAACACCATCAGAAGACTGAGAGCAGATGAGTGGGCTGCGTGGATGACCAATGCTGATCCAGGTCCAAAAGAGCCGGGACAATCTCTACTTGCAGTATTTCCTCTTATTTTTTTTGCTCTTGGCCTAGCAGTGTTGTTTGCCTTAGATACTCTTACCTGCATTTCAGTGTTCTTTGAGAGCTTGACGGGGCTAAATACCTGTCTTTCTGCTGCATGCATTCCTTAATTCTTGAGTCAGGCTGCAGCAGGTCCACTTATGCCAATATGAGTGCCTCAAGAGCTCTCCATGCCTCAAGTTGACCACTTTTGAGGTTACACCTGAGTGCACGTGTTTTTTACGTAATTGCCATAGTCCCTGTCAGTTGCCATTTGCTTTCAGGCTTAATCTATACTTTCCTTCCACTGCTGCTGCCAGTCTAATAAGCTGAGATTTATGGACAGAGAATTTTTTCCTGGGCCAATTCTTGGGCAGTGAAAGGGGTATCACTAACAGAGTTAGAGGTCACAACAGCAGCTAGTGAGATAATGAAACCAAGAGCAGCTCCATGGTCCATGACCTGAGCCCGTTCGGTTGCTAATCACCTGCTGTCCATGTCAGTTGGAAGGTTTCTGTCTGTGTTGCACATGTTATTTTAAAGAAGAGGAAAAGATTTAACCCACATGAGGATAGCTTGTGGCTCTTGTACTGAGGGACAGCAAATGCTCATGATGTATCACATGGTTTTATTTCTTTTTTCCAGATATTTCAAAGTTTTCTGACACCTTCAGGCTAGAGCTCAGTCTAACAGAGGGGCCACCTCTTGCCAAGCCAGTTTATTCCCACCGGGGCCTTGACAATGTCGATGGTCTTTGTGAGAAACTGTTTCCAGGTAGGTCTGCACATTGCTTTCACTATCTGGTAGGTTTACAACATGAGTCTCAAGGGCATAGGCAAGGTCAAAGATGAGTTTGAAGACATTCTTTAAACAGGTGAAAGAGATGGAAATAGTTTGCAGACCTGACAGCAAAATTGCATTCATATGCCTGATAACCCCGTTCCCCAAGGACCGATCTTTTCCAGCTGTTGACATGTGTACATAACAGAGCTGAGCTAGCTGAACTTCTCTGGGGACCAGGCACAACCATGCCAATGTCTTTTTGCAATCCAGTGAAAAATGGGAAGGACAGGAGGAGAAGGTCACTTGAAATCAGCCCAGTGTAAATACATAAAGAGACTGAGGCTGGGACTAGAGTGGAGTGCAGAGTCTGCTGCCAGTTACAGTCCAACCTTTCTGTGGCATTGCAAGGTCAGGCAGGTGTCCAGGGAATTTTGTATTGAGCCCTTATTGTTTCTTTGTTTACTCACCAGGTCTCCTAAATGAGGTTGGGCACAGCTGGTCCTGTGCTGGCATTTTTAGCAAAGGGACTCAGACCTGGGTAGGAGATGAGGATTGAGTTCCCTAAGGAAGTAGTCGTTGCAAAAGAATCTAGAAATACATGGAGTGGGTAAGGAACATTTTGAAGGAGCAAAAAAGGTACTTCAGGCAGCTATGGTTGGCATTTGTAGCCTTTCATCGATATTAATTCCCATAGAATCATTTCAGAGGGCTGCATCTGCATATCTTATGCTAACACTAACCACTTCTTCTCCTTTGCCTTGTTAGTGAAACCCCACAACATAATATATACTCCAAAAAAACTCAGTGAAGATCTCCTCCAAGAGCATCCAGGGTTGTATAATTTAATGCAAAATCAATTGAAGCAGCTTTCTGAGGGAGTTCTGATATTTTCCAGAAGCTGGGCTGTTGAGGTCAGCTTGCCAGAAAAAAGAGACATAGTTTGTGACATTCTCCTAATAGCCAAGGGTGGGCCACCTATCCTCTATACCATCTGTGAGCATCCTGTCTCAAAGGATTTGTTTGAAAACTCCAGACGTGTAGCCCAGAGGCTGAAGGAGAAATTAGTCAACACTGGGGGCTATATTCACAAACTGTGTGTAATACCAAAGCTCCTGACCTTGACTCCCCAAATTAACCATGGAAGAGAATGGGATCTGAATATTCAAGAAATGTATCCCCAAAACTACGGCCTCATCAACAGTGACAACTTGAAGACCCTCTTGCATGCTCTCACAGTGGCTCTGCTGACTTTCAAGTCCTTTTTAAGTGACCATGTTGGTTTTGAGTTTTTGAACCTTTTGACCATCCAACAATACCAGCTGCTGTCAGAAAATCTGGACAAAACTAAGAAGCTGTACGTTTATGGTCTGCCAGGAACAGGAAAAACTATAGTGGCCCTGCAGATCATAGAGAAAATAAGAAATAAGCTGCACTGCCCACAAGAGGAAGTTCTTTATGTATGTGAGAACCAGCCTCTGAGAGATTTTGTGCAGTAAGTATTTCTCCAATTACTCATTTCAACACCCTGTTATTTCACCAGCATTTTAAAATAGCCGAGTAGTGATTAGTATATTGGGTACACTATTTGGTCCACCACCACTGCAGCGTGTGAAGTGTGTAGTTTGGATGCATTTTTAGTAAGGCTCAAATTATTTTCTTGACATCCTGAGCATCTACTAATAAATATGACTTTGATATCATGGGCATTCACTTTGTTCTGATCAAGTAGAACCAGTATTTTGCAATGCAGAGATTGTTTTTAATTTACTTTTATCTCTTCTGTAGGCAGAAAAACATTTGCCAAGCTGTGACAAGAGTGGCCTTTTTGAAGGCAAGCTTTAGTCATGTGAAGCACATCATAATTGATGAAGCACAGAATTTCCAGGATGGGGAAGGTGATTGGTATAACAAAGCCTTGATTCTAACTTCATCACCAGATCTCCCTGAGCCTGGCTTTTTCTGGATCTTCTTGGACTACTTACAGACAAGTCACTGCTTCCCAACTGGTCTTCCAGAAGCAAAATGGCACGATCCTGTCGAGTCACTAACCAAAGTGGTTCGGAACGCTAACAGTATCTATAGTTATCTCAGAGAAAATATGGAAAAGATTGTAGAGTGCTCTACCCTAGATATTCCCAAGCAACGTTTGAAAATGTTACTACGCAGAGCCACCCATACTCACGCTGTGCAAGGCTGTGTTGAAATAGTCAGAAAGCTAGACAGAAATGGGATAGTGAGGTATGTGGCAGAACATTGTCAGACATATCTGAAAAATGGTTACTCCGAGGAAGATATTGCTGTTCTCTGCTACAGAGATGAGGAAGTAAGAGCATACTATGGAATATTAACATCAGAAATGAAGAAGTCAAATATAGTCTTAAGTAAAATGGAGGGAGCGCAAGAGACGCATGTTATTCTTGACAGCATCCGTCGCTTCTCTGGCTTAGAAAGGAGCATTGTGTTTGGTATTATTCCTCAATCCTTTTCATTTCAGAAAGAAATTTTCAATAATATATTGGTCTGTGTAGCATCCAGAGCTAATTTAAATCTACACTTGTTATTTGATAACGAGAAACAGGTAACCCCATAGGATCCCAACAAGGCCCTGGTAGCTCAATGGTTATGTAGGTCTGACATTTTTTCACTCTTTACCTGAAGTAGAAGGATTTGCTTTGTCATGGCTGGTCCTCAGCTATGCTGGTTAGATAGAAGCCTCTGTGTAGCATTAGATACAAAAGACTTTTGAAAGACAGATCCAAAATTCCTAAAACTGGGTATCCAAAATTGAAGGCTGGATGAAAATAAACCATATGGTTGCTCATTTGGTTTGGAAGACAGTCTGATATCCTCCTAGTGTGATTATAAAGTGAGTTAACGGAATGTAAAGACATTGTACACAGCTGGAATCACTCTCCAAATAAATTTGTCTTTAGATTGTCAAACATGTTGCTTAAAAAGTCTTGTTTTTCTAGCTTAGAAGTGCTTTCTTTTTTTTCCCCCATAATCAACATAAAAGAAGAGCCTATCCTCATGGTTCCTTTCCTAACCCCCAAACCTCAACACTTAATCATGCCGGGCCTATCACATGATTTTAAGCATTTATATAATAAAGTTTAATGTGGTGACCAGCTGGTATGTTTGCTTCTCATTCCACTTCTTCCCTAAATGAGACATTTTCAGCACTCCCTGTTGTGCCAAACACTGTGTCCTGGTGTGAACCTCAGCTTAACCCATGAGTGCCACCTCCTCCTCCAGCCTTTCCTGGTGACTCTGCACAGTCCTTTGAGCAGGGTGAGGTACTTTGCAAGTGGTGAAAATCCAGCCTGTGCCAGGATTACTCCAGCTTCCTGGAGAGGATGCAAAGCTGCAAGTGGGAGTTGCCTTAGATTCTCCTCTTGCTTAATGAAAGCAGAACAGGAGTTCCACATGTGAATTTATTACAAGTTCATCCATCATCCTCATATTTTATAGCACACCACTTAAGGCTGTTTAAAAATACCATAAATGAACAAAAAACCCACACAGCTCAAACCCAACCTATTTTCTAACTACAGGATAGAAGGCATTTAACCCTCCCTGTTCCATCACTGCTGGGAATTCCAGAAGTACCAGGAGCTGTAGATGGTTTCAGCACAGATTTCAGTTCCGTTGAGTCTCCTTACAACAGCCCCTGGCACATTTCCAACACAACCAGCTGTTTTGCAGCTGGGCCTTGAAGCTTTCATCATTATTAGCTGAACGGGGGCAAAGAAAGGATTTAACACCCTCTGGGAATTACTCAGATGGACACTTTCCAAATTTCCCAGGCACATGCTCCCTTTTCCTCATACAGTTTCTGAACCTCCAAACTTGTCCCCAAACTATTCCATGCCTTGACAATAGCACTACATTTTCCTCATGATTCTCACTTTTCCACATTTCTCAGTAGCTTTTTTTCCCCCCACGCCAGCCTTTCTCAGTGCTTTTCATTTCCTCATGCCTGAGAGAGAGGTTTGATCAGCCCATAATCCATGCACCTTGTGAGGCAATCCCGTGCTACGTTAATGATGTGCTGCTTCTTGGGGTCATCCTCTTGCTTGCCGACGTACGTCAGGATCTCTAGAAGCTCCGACTCCACCAGCTTCTTCGCCAGCTCTTTGTCAGCACTGATTAAGTTGAAAGCGATGACCAGTCCTCGGTGTTGCACTTCCATGTTATCATGCAAGCAGAGCCTCTGCAGGATTTCAAGCCACTGAGTGGTCTTCAAGGGAGAGAGAGAGATCATTAGTATTGATCTGAAGAATACCTCAAACCAAGTTTGGCAAGGCATTTCTAAGGAGAAGTAGGTGTAGAGACCCACCTCTTCAATACTCATCTCAGGTGCACTTATTTGATTCTTTAACTAAGAAAACCTCCAAACTTTTGAACCCAATTTTTGTTACATTAAAGTCAGAAGCTTCCATGGCACTAGCACCACATGAAACATGTTTCATGTTTAGGCTGCTGCATAATTTCTGTGCAAAGAATCCGATCAGAGTATTGACACAGCTGAGACAACCAGCAGCAGACCACCCACTCCCCTCATTGACTTTCCTGAGCCCCTCTTTTGACTTGATTAATCATTTTTATTCTACCAAGCCCCAGCATCCAACATCAGCGTGTGTGCAACACAACAGGGTTCATGAGTTCTCAACCACAGCTCTTCACAGATGCTCAGCTATGCAAGGGACCCACAGATCTGTGCAGGGAGTGGAGATGTTTTGGGATCTGCAAAGCTCAATAGGTTATCTATCAAGCTCTTCTCATTTCTGAGAGAAACAAGGTTTGGATTTCAGGTTATTTATCAAAAGCTTTAAGGGCTCATAGAATAATATTCTGCATTCTTAACCTTGCTTGACTTTAGTATCCTGGACTTTGAGGAATAGCTATATAAAAATGTTTCAGCTTAGAGATGAAGTCTAATATATGGCAGGCTGGTTTACTTTGTGCAGGGATGGACTAGGAATATGCACACCCAGGTCTCAGCTTCACCACCAAGTTCCTTGCTATCAAACTGGTGGACATCTCCCTCTTGAGAGGCATTTTCATGACTAAGCCAGGTCCCTTCAAGGTACATCTACGCTGCCAATAATCAGACTTATGGTCTTACCACTTCAGTCATCTTGGAGCAGAGTTTCTTTTGTGCTGCTGTAAGCATGGCCAGAGCTCCTGCTGCTGCAACCTGGACTTTCTCATCATCCTCACCACACAGTAACACCACCAACTTCAGTCGGTCGTTTCCATCAGCCACAAACC